GACTGACTGACTGACTGACTGACTGACTGACTATATATATTGTAATAAGTATCATAAGAGACTATTTGGCTGTGATTTCTTTTTAAGACTCTGACATTGAAAAATGAAATTCAAAGCAAAGTCAGCACTGCATAGAACTCATGAAAATATATGTGTGGATTGCATTTATTACTATGCATTTGCCTAACACTTTTTAATGGTTATCTTATCTCTTTTATGTTCATATGATGGAGCACAATGGCTCAGCAGTTAAAGCAGCTAGAAAGCTGATGGCCCAGTTCAAGACCTAAGCACTGCATGATGGAGTTCCTGTCCCAGCTCCTATTCACCAAGCAGTTTGAAAGCATGGAAATACAAGTAGATAAATTGGCACCACTGGTGGGAAGGTAACAGTATTCCACACATCTTGGCATATAGTCATGCTGGGCACATGACCACAGAAATGTCCTTGGACAATGCTCCTTCTTCAGCTAAAAATGGAGATGAGTATCACCTCATAGAGTCAGACACAACTGGCCAGGAAAAATCTTTACCTTTATATTCATATAATGAATCCTGTAGGCAATGTATGTTTGTCTGTCACTTTAAAAAAAAACTATCATTACATAATTTGTGATCTTTCATAATGGGGTGACTATTATATAGTTACATAATATCCTTAGCAACATAAAAAACTTTCAAATGCAGACAAGAAAGACAACATCCAATATTCAATTATGACAAACTTCACACAAACCTTACTGTCATGTTTTTATTGAAGAATGTATGACAGGTCAAGCCATTGGTGTATAAAATGAGAGCAAATGCCCCTCTCTACTAGCACTGAAGATATTCCCTAGTTTGATAATGAAATGTCTGCAAGAAAACAACCAAGCTCAGACAGTACCAAGGACTCCACAATTCAACCCTGAGTGTAAAATAGTCTCTTCTATCTGTAAAATAACTTTACCACCAGTTCCAATATAATTTCATTTTTTTAAAAAAATGCCACAGATTTTAGAATTAGATCACAGAATATAGAACAAACCTTTGATATTTTTTGACTAGGTAATATATGAAATTATATCATATCATAAAAATATACACATTTTGTACTCATTCTGGTTAGGAACAACTTTCCTTTAACTTGACTTGGTTAATATTGTTATTAAATATATCAATTGGAGAAAAGTATGTTAGGAGTTGGAACTCAGAGAATAATACATAACAAGTTAAGAATCAGAATAAAAAAAACAAAACAGAGACAGAGGAGATGACAAAAATTCTTGAGATTTCTACAGAAGTCATGTGCCATTTCTTTGAAAGCTGCTTGGTGAAGTATTAAACTTGTCTTGAATGAGGCCATGAGGAGAAAATTATGGTTGTTATATGAATCCTACCCTTAAAGTAGTCTGAGCAATATAACTGCTAGGAAATAAAATCTTTCAATATTTGATTCCTATTCTGACCTAAACAAAATTTAAAAAAATATATGAAAGATTAATGATTAACATCTGGAATCCCTAACTCAGCCTAAATGCATGACCAAACTTTTTTTTTGTTAACATAAAGTGCATAGCAAGCTGGTGACATAGCAAATGAAGAACATCAGTTTAATTATTTTGAAAGCTTACTGCTTGTTGACTTGACCCAAAAAAGAGACAAAGAAAGGGAGGACAAATACAGTGACAAAATATATGTCTTCTGTATGCTTCCTTCATATTTGTGTGTATTTGCATGTGTGTGGCAGGACGGTGGGAAGGGAAGAATTGATAGCTGGTTTAAGTAAAGGAGACTCAACATTTACTGCTCACTACTTGAACAAAGTGTAAAACACGTAATATCTGTTTCTTGTTTATGAGATGAATTGGCAATTTCTTCAGGGACAGAAGAATGAGCGCTGGCCATGTAAATAATTACTGGACACAGGTAGCCTGCCTAGGCCTCTCAGAGGAATATATGAATCAAAGCCTGTATTTCTATAGTTGCAATATATCTTAATATTTTGCTTATACTGCAGCATTAAATAGGAACTTTTAATCATTATTTTAGTGTCAAACAGATTTATTTTTACATAAAAAATAAAGTTTGATTTACAACCTCTATTGAGGGAAAATGTGTGATTTCCCAAGGCAGTTTTGAAATAGTAGGAAAAAAAGACTCTGAACTGAACTGTATTTTTTAATAATATTTTCAGATCAAGATGATGAAAAGAAAACCAGAAGTATGATTCAAATGTCTCATCTGAAATTCAACATTCAAGTGTCACAGTTTTTTGTTTTAAATGTGATTGATGAAGATGTAATTACGGTATATAGAGCCTGAAAGGTGATTCTGGCCAAAAGATACAGTTTGTCACTTTGTGTTCTGATAAGGTGAAATACAAAATAGATTAAAAAAAAATACGATATTTCACTTTATTTATCTTTATTTAATATTCAATATAGTTAATAATTGTTCTCCATTTACATATTGAGATTAGACCTCACAAATTAACTCCATCATTATATTACACAATAGTACGTTCCATTTCATTAATTATAAAAACTGAACCAATCGTCATGTATGTGTAGATCAATTTATCTGCATATAGATGTGACATAAACTTGTTCACATTATTTTCTTTGTAATGAGTAAAACCAAATAGGAAAAATATAGAAAATAGGCTATATATCAGAAGCCTACTATATAAAAGTTCTATAATATTTGAAAATGTAGATGTTTAAGTAAATTAATTAAAATAAATTGTTCCTGAGTAAATTATTGATTTCAATCCTGTTAGTCTTGTTTCTCTTTCATAATATCTTTTAAACACAGTCTATCTGTATAGGTAAGGATTCTTAACATTTATTTCTGACTCTTTTGTTCAAAAATATCCTTCAATATATTCAATGTTAAAATCTCTTGGTTCATTCTGTATTTTAAGGTCAAATTTAAGTGTTCTCCTTTAATTGTAAATTAATTCACCTGATTCCCTTTTAGTGCCTTTTGTATATTGAGGGCGGATGGAAGACGCAGGAGCCAGGATTCAAACAGTCAAGAAGTTTATTCCAACATCTCATCCTATCGTCCTTTTTTGTTTTTTAAGAGAATTTGAAACAAAAATATTTTCCCCTGGGAAGGATTCTTATGATTAATTTCAAAACTAATCCTTCATGGTCTAGTCCTTCAATCCATTTGTAACTTTCCACACTTAAAGTTCTAATAACTCTTTTGCTATTTATTCCAAAAGATTTTTAAATCCTTCTACCTATTTAAAATGAGAAGGAAACTGGTACTATAAAACCTGTCAACCAAAAGATTCCTAATACCCCAAAAGCAGTGAATAAGCAACTTCCAAAAGTAATTAGAGAAGGAAGTTTTCAAATCTGTCTTTTTGTAGGTGCCAACAGCCATTTCCCCAAGATGGATCTTCTTTTTTTCTAGAGATTGTAAATCTCATCTATCTGAAGAACCTGTGGGTGATCTGAGGTCCCCTCCTTGTCTACAGATTGATTATGAGGAGCCGTTCTACTCTCCAGCTCTTCATTCTTCTGTGGTCATCAACTATGTTTTTAGTGGAACTATCTTCAGTTTCTTCTTTGGAAGTCAGTCCCTGAGTAGATCAATTGTATGGGGAATTAACCCACTAAATGTGAAGTCTTAATAAATATTATAACACTTGAGAGCAATTAATTGAATATAATAATTGCCTAGCTTTGACCAGATGTGAAAGATTATGTTCAGCAAACATTACAAATGAAATAGCTGCATTACAACAGCCCCATCATCATTTAATTCTAGGATTCATGCCACAACATAATTCAAAGTAAACCCAAAAATCATTTACCTATATAAGTGGGATACTGTTTCTCTAAAGAACTACTATATTTATCAATAATTTTCATGAAAGTGGCTTACATGAGGAGTGGCATTAATAAATAAAAACTATATCTTGTCTGTGATTTTCCAAATATGAATATATCAACCTCTTGATAGATATAAAACAGTTGAAAGATCTGGAAGTTATATCCTTCTATTGTTATACACATCATCTTTACTTGCTTTTTATTACACAACATTCCCATTTATGCTTCAACTATACTTCTGTTTGATCCCCCTAAAATTAATTTTACCTACTGAGAGGCATTGATAAAGAAGATGATTTAGGCCTGTTGGACATGAAGTAATTAGCCCCAAAGATAAAATTATCACCATTTCCATATTGTGCTTTGTCTTCTGCTAAATCTTGTGAAAATTGGGGGGGGGGGGGGAATCTTTCATGATAATAAATAAATAATACTATCCCTGGCCTTATTTTTCAAAATATTTAGCCATCTTGCTCTTTTAATAAAAGCATTCCTTGTCCTAAAAGATGCAGCTGACAGAGAGTTCTACAGAGATTCTGGGCATTTCCTATCTAAATGGGAGAAGGTTTCAATCTACTGGAGCTGGATTACTAATGTGGGTGAATCAATAGGATCATAAACAATAGAGTTTTATCATGGACATTGTCTACCTACCCTTCTCTTAGCCCAATTCAAAGTATTTTATAATGTTAATGCATTGTTGTTGTTTTATTATTGTAATTGTATGCTGCTCTGTTACTGATTTGCTTTCTTGTAATCCAACAAATTCCTGTTACTGAAGTGCATAACAACTTAATCTATCAGCCAGCAAAGGCTGGTAGGATAAAGAGCACTTGCTATTTGCTGTTCCCTTTTTTATTGGTTTTCCGCCAAAATTATTTGCTATTTCAGTGGTTTTCCTCCAAAATTAAAGTAGCACCATTAAGCCCTCTTTTTCAATTATATATTCCATTTTAGATCGTCTCTTGCCGGTCGCATCAACCTGACCCATCAGAGCAGGGAGACAGGGGATGTTGTGGGTCCCATTTCCAAGGGAGATACATCTGGTGGAACCCAGAAGAATGGTCTTTTCCATCGTGACTCCCTCTCTCTGGAACATCATTCCCTCAAAGATTAGAATGGTCCCCACTCTAGTTCTCTTCCAAAAGGTGAGAAGACCTGGTTCTGCCAGCAGGCCTGAGGAACCCATAGTGAGATGGAACCCATTAAATGGCCCGTGTGATGTCGCTGGGGCAGGAGGTGGGGGTGGGGTGATTTTATTACATTAATTTATACATTTGATAATACATTTGATTTTTCATTACTTTTACTATTTTAGATGTGTTTTTTTATATATTATGTAAGTTGCCTTGAGGATCATGGGCAAATAGGTGGCAATATAAATTTAATAATAAATAAAAATAAATAAATATATAGTCACAATCAATAGAAAGAACAGCATGGTGAAAAGAGTGGCACGTGGCCTAATGGTGAAGACTTTCACCTCTCATTTGGAAGGTTGAGAGTTCAATCCTAGGCAGCGGCAGATGTTTTTGTGTTATGATGCAAAGAAAAAAATATTTGCTGCAAACTTCACGTAGGTGTCAGGAATGGCATTCAGTCAGTAAATGCTCAGCTCCAGCCAAGCTTATGACTGTACCCTAATAGGAACCATAGAGTCATAAAAAGCAAAATAAAGTTACAATCATAGATGTAATATTTCCCATTGAAGATAAACTAAAAATAAAGTTTGATTAATATCAATTTGCTGATATCTGTCATGACACATCAGGCATAGAAATACAGGTAAAATTTACTTATTCAACCATTAAAGAACTCACAAATAGAAATGGTTTCCTTGAAGATTGAATAGAAGTACTTAAGAGCAAGAGGAAGTTCTTTAAGAATGGCTCTCTGCCCAAATCATTTAATTAAGCTCTTCTTATGGTGAAAAGAGGCAGAAAAGAAAATGTGAGAAAAAACAATAATTTCTGAGCAGGTCAATGGTTTTATATTAATATATTTTTCCATATAAAAGGACAAACATGCACTAATGACATCAGACAATAAAACCATCTAACAGCATAATTCTGCATTGTAGAATTATATATCGCATGTATTCGCATGTAAAACTACATAGTGCAAAGAACTTGATTTTCAATTAATGTGCTTTCTAGGATTGAACAGATACATTATGGATGCCTTTAAAGAGCCACTCTATATTACTCTTGCTGAAATATATTCAGAATAGATTTGGAGTTTTGATAATATTGGGGTCTTCAATAATTAATATCAAAATGCAATTTAGCTGTTTATGATTTTGCATAAGATGTAAACCCCAGACATGCTTGTTTAGCAATAGCAATAGCAGTTAGACTTATATACCGCTTCATAGGGCTTTCAGCCCTCTCTAAGCAGCTTACAGAGTCAGCATATCGCCCCCACAGTCTGGGTCCTCATTTCACCCACTTCGGAAGGATGGAAGGCTGAGTCAACCTTGAGCCGGTGAGATTAGAACCATTGAACTGCAGATAACAGTCAGCTGAAGTGGCCTGCAGTATTGCACCCTAACCACTGCACCACCTCGGTTTGTAAACATGACTTACAACTTTGAACACTGTGTGAACTCAGCATGGTTTAATTAAAATAAGTTTTAGTGCCTTATAAGAATTGTTTTTATTTTTTATTTTTGTTAATATGCTGGATTGTAGATGTGGGATTTTTTAAAATATCAGTTAAAGAGTCAGAAGTCAAACTACATTTACAAAGCAGACATTTCTTACCTCGTAATCAGCTTTTTCTCCTGTCTGTTGGATCAGGGAATCAGGAACTCAGTTCCAAAGCACTCAAAAATGACATCCTGTACAAAACCTCAAACTATCAATCTATATTTGTAAGAAACCAGAATGAGGTCAGTTACAGAACTATGAAGGAGCAAATTGAGCAGTCACCAGATTCCAAGGCTAGGAAATTAAAGGCAAATTTCTAAAGAGAAAAAAGGAAAATTATGGAACAAGAAATATTTCTTGTTGATGGGAAATCTCTTAATTTGCCTAGGAGGGCAGAAAATTTTAAGAAAGAAAAAACAAGTAAACAAAACAAAATAAGAATCAACCTATTATACCTAGTTTGAATTGGATTAGGACAAGACTACACATTGGTACTCTTCCAAGAGTGATTTTATTTAATTTTGAATCTATTTATTGTGGCTTTGTTACATTAAATAAATTGATCAGCAGAATATCATCTAGTATTATTCCCACATGGACAGAGTCTGCTTTTTGGATACACGATCCCGTCTTGCATGATCAAATGCAACATCCAGATCATGTCTGCATTTTGATTGAGATAGCTGTAGATCCATTGGTTTCTACAACCCCCCCCCCAACCAATTGGCTTGTCACATGGTCCTGACATCGGTTTGGTCAGTGTTCAGCACTGCCCTGATGGACAGGCAATATCCAGCAGTACAGTAGCAGAATAGACCCCACCACCACATTGATCAAAGGAATATGCCAGATACAGTTTGGGAAAACACATCAGGAGACATAAAAAGTGTTTACTGTATTCTTTTTCTATAGAATCTAGAAATAACCAATAATTTGTTGTGAGAAATGATATCTTCCTTTGAAATATAGGAGGGGATCAGCATAAATAGTTTAGCTACTTGACAATCCACACCTTTGCACATGACTGGCTATAATGATCCTGGCCAAAATGAAACAGTGCAGCATGATGACAACTACAAAATGTAGGGAAACAGACAATAATGACTATTCAACTCAATTCAATTAAATATTGCAGAAATAAATTCCTTGTAAACAGAAACATAGTATTAACTGTTTTTTGCTTATAGCCATCCACCCATCCATGCATCCATGCCACAATACATTTGAGTATTAGGTAGGCGCAGATAAAATATTAATACATTAAAATATGTAACATTTCCCTTTTTTCACTATCTTTTTGCAGATATCCTGTGATGTTACTAGGATTGTTTACATTGTCTACAGTTACTACCCTTTCATAATTTCTTCTGAGGCAAGTAACTTTGAAGGTATAGGGAATTACAGAGATGACTGCAGGAACTAGACAGAGATAATGGTTGGAAAAACATGTGTTAAGCCTAGAAAGCTGAGAAAACTTGAGACTATTCATTAAATGACGAGTATAAGAGGGACAGGAACACTCAGACATTTAAGATTCTGTTGCTATAAACTACAGCAATAAAAGACTATTCCAAATCAGAGTCCTGCTCTGACTTATTCTGAAGAAATTACGATGAAACTATGGTTACTGTACTCTTTCAAAATTAGTTTTTCCTTTCATGAATATAAATAATCACAACTTCCCAAGCCATTCATGCAGCCTAGAAAGCATTTAATATAAATTGCAAAATGTTGGAAGTAGTCGTATTTTACTTATTCAGTATAATATAACTGTTCTAATTTGTGTGTTTTAGAAGTACTATACAGTTATTTACTTATCTACTTACTATCCACTTCCTAAATGAATAGATGCAAGAGTTTACAATTAATTTTATCTGATCACAATAACATCTAAACAGATAGTGGTTATATTAAAAAAAACTATGCTTCCTGAATTTTCTATCATAATTAATAGAAATAACTCTGCATCTATGCCATTATTTAAGCAAAGTAAAGAAGAAAGTAATTTCTGCAAGAGGAAGCTGGTTCTAAAATGACTAAAGATACACTGTTAACTCTAGGAAAGATCCAGATTTTCAGGAATTAATAATTCCAATTTCAGGCATATGTGTGACTATATAACAGGAATGGCACAAAATCTATGTGTTCCTATTCCGTTACACTTAATTTGAAAGTGATTTCAAATTAGTACGTATAATTCCAAAAAGTGATGAATTAATTATGGGTTGAGTTACTCTCTTGGTTGATAATGTATATATTTCAAAAGCTGCTTTGAACTGAGTGGAGAAAATGAATGGAAAAGTTACTTCAGTATATAGGAATGATAGTACAAATAAGAGCTATAAGAGTACATTTGCACTTTGCTGTCATAGATAACTGGGCCAGGATTTTATTTGCAAATTCAGAGTATGGTGCACAAAAGCAATCGTGCATGGAGGATTCCTTGTAAATACTTGTAGCTTTATTTTCTTCAGCACTGTTTCTAGTTTCCCTACATAAATAGAAGTTCTTAATCCTGATCTCAGAGGAATGATGCATTAATTAATCCAAAACTATGACATAAAAATAAAAGAATTGAGTTAAATAACATTAAGAATATGGGTTTTAAAACACATTTTCAAAAGGTAAATTATGGTAGGTATTTCTTTGCCAAATCAGCACTGACTTCTCTGGCAATGTTTTTTCTCCTAATCACTTACTATTTGTTGGTAGAATTGATCCATTTAGGCATCAAATATAACTGTCTGTTTAGTCCAGGAATCCAAATTAAGGCAACTCTGTTAGCTGATTGCCTCTTCAACAAATTGTCCAGTAGTAATAGCACTTAGAATTATATACCACTATACCATTTATATACCATTCCTAGTTCCGTCCTTGAAAAAGGGTTCAGTTTCATCATCATCACCACCATCATAATCATATAATCATCATCACTAATATTATAGTTTCTCTTTGCACCTGTTCCAATTTTCTGAATATTTTTTTAGAAATACAAAACCAGAATCGGTCACAGTACTTAAGGTATAGTCTGACCAAAGCAAAATATGGTGTAATTATAAATTCCAATTAGTTGAAAATCAGTTGGAAGTTTGACAATCAGAAAAAATAGACATCAATAAACACATAGAGATAAAGCAAATTTACACACCATTCAAAAAGACATAATTAAAAATAAAATTAAAATGGTAAGAAAGAAACAAAGAAAACCAGAATACATGTTCTCCATCAACTGACAGCCAGATAAGCAGGGATTAAACTAGACAATCAGAAAACAATACCCTAATGAAGGAGCTACCAAGGAGATGGGAAAACCCTAACCAACATTGGTAAGGCAAGATACTGTATATAAACAGAGCCAACAGCATGCTCACTAGCACTGATGATGCTACTGAGTTGAACAATGAAACTTTTGTAAGTAAACAACTATGTTCAGAGAACATCAAAGAATCCATAATTCAACCTTGAGATACATGCAGTCTATTCTCTTCTATTAAAAGTTCTTCTATTTTCTTGAGAAATCTGTTCTCTTTTATGGTGCAGAGTCATTTTGTAACATTTCATTTGGTCAGTTTCATTAGGCAAACCAAATATATCAAAAGAAGGTACATCCCTTTCTAATACCAACTTACAAAAGTAGGGGAAGCAATGGTGAAAAACCTGACATAACTATTGGTGACTACTCATATGCTGATCAGCAGGAGAAAAGTAAGCATCTTTGAAATTTCTTCCTAAATCAACAAACCCTCTCAACAGTGATCATTATGAGCTAAACTTCTGATATACCTTGCATATGCATAAACATGATTTATGCATTCATAGCATGGCTTGACTAATTAAAGTACACCTTTTGCTTATTACATTTTATGGACTCCATTACTATAATGCAGGCAGCTTCAGGCAGCAGGAGACAGAAAATCATCTCTGGGGAAAAAAATGAGACACATGTGTCCTTTATTTCATTCTTGCAGAATGCTGAATGGTAGCAGATGACATTTTGCAAAACAGAGTAAATTGTGAGAGAGCTACCATAAAAATGAAATTTATAGTCTTAAATAAATCTAAAAAAATATCTTGGATAGAATGAATAAGTATATGTGCAAAAACTTATATTGGGAGGTCACACATCTTATACCCTTACCAATTACTATCCCATTTCATATTTTAATCAACTTAATTTTAATATTATTCAAAGAAAGTAGTTACATCACTTTGTTAAGGTTCTACATACAACAATAAGATGACATATATTAAATTACTAAAAAAAGTAAAAATTACAAAAGGAAACAAAAAAATGCTATCAGCATAAGCTTTTTTATTCTAGTTTGAAGGTATCTGTTAACTGTGTCTCATTCCAATTTATTGTAATTGTATATATCTAATATCTAGTTTTTCATGGACCTTGGCATTTTTATAGCATGTCATTTCCAGGTGACAGAAAAAAATATGACTTTAGTGGCACTCAAGAATTTCATTTTGCCAACGTTATCAGGGAGATATTAAGATTATCTGTGGATTCAATCAGTTGTGAGAAATTTGTAATAACTTGTCAACTCTTGGGTTAATATGTTTTATACATGATACTGCTCAAAGTCCTTGAGTAAAATCTCTTTGTTTCACTATTAATCTGTATTCTGTGGTGCAAAATAAACTACTATCTTTAGAAAAGCCATGTCCAAAATATCAAAGAATGAAAGTGTAAATATTTAGAGCTCATTATTAAAAAGAGACTGAATGCCTTTTATGCTTTTCTAAGAATTTTTATTCAAGTAAATTTGTAATTCAGACATACTGAGCTTGGAAAAAAGTACCAATATAGTTGCCTTCTTAGCTCTCTGATTTCTATACTTGTAAGTCAATGTCCAAATTCTAACCTAAGCTGATAAGTTTAGATAGTTTCCCCAAATTTACTGTTTGCATAATATTTATTTATTTATATTTTTAAATCAAATTTCTATACTACCTATCTCAATTAAGTGACTCTTGAGTAATATGGGTCTCAATCAGGCTTTTTCTACTGCATATATGTAATGAACATACATTCATTCAAATATACACACTGATAAAATTAGTTCAGTTTTTGATTTGAAGGTCAATAAATTGGAAATCAGACTAGTTAATATTCCAGCTCATAAGCAATCCATATGGAAGCACCACTTAATTGGGTATTTTTTTTTTTGATTTTATTGAAAATTTATATGCCGCCCTTTTCCCTGAGGGGACTCAGGGCGGCTTACAACAATAAAGGGAAGGGAGTGCAAGACAAGACTTAAAAGAAAAGAATCGTGGTTTAAAGAAAAATTAGTCATAAAACACAACATTCACTCAACATTCGGGCGGGGTGAGATTAATCCTATCCCCAGGCCTGACGGGATAGCCAGTTCTTAAGTGCTGTGCGGAAGGCCTGGACTATTCTTCTCAATGCACCCCCAAAATATCTTTCTCCCTT